AAGACCCAACCATCATGTCCTCGCAACGGCTTTCCAAGCGGCCTACCAGATTCTGCATCCCAGATACAAATTGTCTCGTCATCAGAGCCAGATACTATGCGCTTGCCGTCAGGTGAGTATGCGACGGACAGCACCATATCATCATGCCCATCAGGAAAAACCCCAACTCCTCATTTGCCCTAACAACTGAAAGATTAGGTGAAATAACTTCAAATTTCGATGGATTAGATGAAATTAATGCTCTTACCAAATTATCTCAAATTACCTCATATGAATACGGTTCCTAACTCTTACCTCGAATTACCTTGAAGTTACCAATGGCTGAGTAGAGATTATCTGCATCTGGTGTGAAGTTACATTGCGGTTATATGGTAATTAGTCCAATTAGAGTACCATTTTCTCAATCTTTTGGGTGCTAAGAATTCTTTCAAGATTGACACAATGAGCCAAACAGTAAAATTGAATTGATTGAAGAAAGGCTACGGTACAAAAAATGTCTACATGATGGTAATTGATAGCTACAGTGAGATAGAAGGGGATTGTGTTGGGTAGAAGGTATCTGTGTCGACGTTCGCGGGTTGGGGGAGGAGGGGGGGGGGGGGGGGTGTTGTTGGGCCGTTGTCATTGTGGGTGGGGAGACTGTGTTCGGTGTGGTGTCCGGCTGTCATCGGCATTTGTGAGCGGTTGTGGTGGGCTCCTGACAGTGTGGGGTGGTGGGCTGTTGTGGGTGCTGGTGGCAGGGCTGTGTTTACTGTTTATGTGGTGAGCTTCGTCGGCGTTGGGACAGGGTGCTGGACCATCCTTGGCGTTGATGGGGGGTGGTGGTGAATCCTGGCCAACGGTCGTGTCGCCACGCATTGCTGCGTGTGGTCATGGTTGCATGCGGTCGTCGTGCTGTTGTCGTGGGGCGGTCATCACGCAGTCGCTGCCTGTCGTCATTGAGCGGTCATCGTCGTGTGGTCGTCGTCGATCAGGATCGTCCACGTCGTTGTTGCCTCGTCATCCATTCATCGTTGCCTGTCGTCGTTCGTTACTTCATTGTTGTTGTCGTCGGAAAGGGTACTTACCTGTTGGAGTTGGCATACAGGTTGCGTAGGGCAGGAACATCACACAGACCTGTGTGCCATAGGTGAGTGGTTGAGAGGTTAGTAATGAAAGGCAGTTGCTCACTGTTGGAATTTGTAGGCCAGGTCGCAAGCATGAGTTGGCAGAGAAAAGCCGGTAACACAATGAGAATTTGAGTGGGAGTACGACGAATGAGAATGAGGGGTGACAAAAGCACGCAGACGATGTGGTGGGAAGAAAGAGCAGTGGGAGGGAATAGAATCCAACATGATCATGTGCCGTCGGAGTTTTAACGGACTTAGGAATAATTTCGTTCTCAACGCAACACGCCATGCTGCGCCCTGCTCAACGT